CCTGCTATTTATACTTTCCGAAGATAACCATTGAATCGTACTTTAAACCGTCGAACTGCTCCTCCGTAATTGCTGATCATGCTACCTTATAAGTAGCTCCACTACGCCTTCACTTGCAGTTAGGCTTCCCCCTTATATTTGAATTTGAATGTGAACAACCATTGAAGCCACGTCACTGTACGTCTCTTTGTTGATCCGCTACTACTCAGATCTTATCACAACCAATATTAATTGCCACGTGTATGATCAGGATCGAAGACCTACCTAGTCTCCCCATATTACCCTCACTTTGTCACGTGTCGAATTGTCACCGGCTTAGTACAAAATGTATAGCCAACAACATTATAGATAGAATTTTTTCTAATTCAATTCTGACACACAAGAAAGAATTATACCAAACACAAGAAGGATTTGTACTATGTACACAAAATATTTGTATCACAATAAAAACATAAATATTCTTTCATTGTCCGACTAATTTGTAAGTTCTCCAAATAATTTAGTGGGTACAACATCTGTCACTAGTAGGATCATTTAAAAAAAAAAAAAAATGCGTATATATATTTAATGAAATCTTGAAGTCCAGTGGATCAATTGACCCACCTCAATACATGTAGCGTCACTAGTGCAGGAAATAAGAAGCATGTTAAAGTGAGTTTTTAATTAAAATATATTTGACAATTTTCTTTTTCTTTTTCTTTTTTTTTTCCTTTTTTTATTTGAAAAAAAAAAGGAAGTGAAAGGAGTGGTTAATGGGAGGTGATGGTTGAACGTAGTTGTTAACGGTCGAAAATTATGATCAATGGTGGTTGTCGATTGTCAATAGGAGTTGGTTGGCAATGGTTGTGTGATTATTAGTTGTGAGAGATTATAGTCAAAAGTGGTTGCCAATAGTTGAAGATAGTGGGTGATTGTCGAAGGTGATGGTCGAAGGTGGTTTTTAGCAAGTCTTGTGGCCAAAGGTGATTGCTATAAGTAAGAACAGATTCAGAATTATCACTATGAGGGTGTGAAAGTATGTTTGAAGTGTAAATTCTTATAATTTTTAATTTTCTAATATATACTATATGATATTTTTCAACTTTTTAGTGGTGTGGTTGCCCCCTTCCACACCCCTAGATCCATCATTGGCTATAAGTGAGAGTTGGTTGGCAACATTTGGAGGTGGTTTGCCCAATGTGGGAAGTGGTGGTTGGAGGTGGTTGTCAAAGGAGTTTATCAATGGGGATGGTACGATGTGGTGATTGGTAGTGGGTAGTAGCTAGTGGTTAGGTGTCATTAATAGGATAAGTTGGGCTTGCTTAATTTGCAACTATTGTGTTCAAATTTAATACTCAACTTTTCGAGTTTTGCAACTATTGTGTTCAAATTTAAAATTAAACTGAATCGGGCTATACATTTTTCATTTATATATTTTTAATATTTTCATTAATTATTTTTCTTTTTTACTTTTCAATATAAGTCAAGATTTTCATTTTCTTTTTACCTTTTTACATCTCAGATAATAAAAAAAAATCTAAGTAACACAATATAATTTTATTTAGAGAGAGAAAGAGGAGAGAGAGAACATGTGTGACTTTGTTTGATTGAATTGAATAGAATATAATTGAATTGAATCCATTCATTCATGTTGAATTGCTTTGTATTCCACTTAATTTTTTTAGAATCCAGCGCACACAGTATCACTAAATAAGGTTTTAAGTTCATGTTTGATTCACAAAATTAATAGTGAAACATTAATAATTCTATTAAATTAGTGTGGTATTTACTATCCAATTAGATTAATATCCATTGGATTAATAATTCCACCCCTACCCCATTACTAATAATCCTACAAATTTGTTGGATTAATTATCCTAAACCAAAATGTTAAAACAAACATAGGATAATTGGGCCCACGGATTAATAATCCCAATCCTATGCTCTAATCCACCCAATCAAACATGCCGTAAGAGAATTGATTATGTATAGAGAGGTACACATTAAATATGTACACATATATAATTATTAATGTATTTTAATGGATTAAATTTGAATTGAACAATGTTGATTTTCTTGGATTCATATAAAAAAAAAAAAAAAAAATTGGACGGGATAGTTTGAGTCAGGTTGATGGGATGGTCAGCCTGGGCTTTTCCATGTGGGCTCTTATGGGCCGGATTCATGGGGCGGGCTTAGGTTACAAATCTTTATCTAAAATCCTAAATCATCTTTTATAGATTTGGATGGATTGGACACTCAAACGGGTTAGGACGGGTCATGAAACTGGTGGAACGAGTTGGGTAATATCAGATTTTTTGTATTGAGGCTATTTGATTACCCTTATGGCCTTTTTTGGCAAGTTGGGTTCTAACTTCTTATTTTTTCTTTTTTGGGGTTAAAATCCACAAAAAGAAAAAATATGTTGAAATAGTTAATAAGATAAAATGTTACATTAAACCCATAATCGTTTTACTTTTTCTCTCACAAACATCACATCTAATTATAAAAAAAATCTAATTATCTTCCTATATATAAATTTTTAATCTACTAAAATAACCAAAAACTAAAATAATTTATTAAAATAGCCAACTTTTCAAACGAGACCTATGGGTGGTGAGATGTGGTGATTGATAGCAGTGATGTGTAATGGGTGGTGACTGAAAGGGATGACAAAAAGACGAAAGAATAAAACTTCTTTTCTAAACAAAGTGAAACCAATTTTATTTTATTTTTTTTATAATGGTTGAGAATTCAATAAATTTTATAAATTATTTATAAATTTCTAAAAAGAGTAAACTATAGTTACTTCCCTTGAAATTTAATAAAATTATAAAAACCTTCCTTGTAGTTTAAAAAATTGCTTTGATCTCTCTTACTTTTAAAACTAATACTAAGATTTCCCTTGTGTTAGATACGTTACAAAACCAAACAAAATATAGTGACCAAATCAAATGTCAAAATACCCTTCTCATTCCTTATAAAAACCACCTTCTATTAATTTGCCTTCAAATCTCTGACAAACCTTTCTTTCTCTTTACAAACTTTCTCTACATTGGAATTTGCAAAATCCTAATGTAGTAGTTAGATCACTGAAATAAAATAGAATATAATATCCTCTCAGTGGAATGACTATTCTCGTAAATAATTTTATTCGTAATATATTTTTTAATTATATTTTAGTGAATTAAATGTGAAATAAATATTATGATTGAATAATTATTTCATTTCATTTTAATAAATCAAATATAGCATAACAGTACATTGTGCCTGTTTGGTGCAGCTTAAAAACTGCTTATTTCAGTTTTCAGCTTAATTTAAGCTATTTTGATGTGTTTGATTTAACTTAACAATGCTGCTTATAGCTTTTTGTAAGTCAGAAATCAACTTATTCTTTGAGTGGGGCAGGAGATACTTAATTTATAAGTCAGAAATCAGCTTATGTTCATAGTTATAAGCTATAAGCTGTTAAGGTATAAACTATAAGCACTTTCCCACAGCTCTACCAAACAGGGCCAATGGTAGTGTTTGATTTATTAAAATGAAATTCAAATAAAATTATCATTCTATTAGAATATCCATTCTTATGTTTATTAGTTCATTAAAAAAAAAAAAATTCAAATGAAATTATCATTCACAATTATAAGTGAACGGTCATTTCATAAATTTAAAAGAAAAATTAAAATTAAAGAATGATTATTTTATTTTATTCTATTCCATTTTATTTTCATCAAAGTGAACCAAATATAGTTTTAAGTAATAACAAAATGAACATTGAAGTACTACATGGAAGCCATAAGGTGACATCTTCTCCAACTTTCTGTATTATTTTTCTCTTGATTTTGTCAGGACATGGGCATTTCAGTATTTTTCACTAGTGTATTCAGGGTTATTTGGTCATTTAACCTCCAAAAGGGGAATCTTAGTATTAGTTTGAAAAGTACAGAAGGTTAGTATAATTTTTCAAAATGTAGAAGAGGTCTGTGAAATTATGTTAAACCTATGAGGTAAGTGTAATTTGCGATACAAAACATCTGAAAATTAGATAGATACAAAACAAGTTTTTAAAGTACTTTAAAAATGTTTTCAAAGTATGAATTTTGTTACATTTTTTTTCTTAAAATATGCATTTTCGTTCATTCTAGATGCTAGGCTTTCTGGTATAGAGCAGAAATGGAACATCTTTCTGCAAAATTTCAAGACAGAAACTCACTACATGTGTTGAGTAACAACGATTATGGTCACAAATGATGTTGAAAATTTGTATATCCACTTTTGGAGGGACCCAAAATTGATCACTTATCCAGCAGAAATATGAGTATGTTTTCTCTTCTTACTTGGATGATTTTCAAGCGATCAATTTTCACTTTCATTTTTTGGGTGTGGAAATTTTACTTCAAGTACCTAATTTAGCTTTTGTCCCATTGAAATTCAAGGGGGTGTCAAAATGCACCCCAAGTGTATGACAAATTTACAAAAGCTAAATGACTTGCACTCTATAGTTGGATTTCTTCATTGTTTGCTCTTTGATTGATTTGTTGCTTTGTTTTGTGGACTTCTGGAAAGATTGAATTTTGTCATTGCTATTTTCTTTTTCTTTTTCTTTTTTTGTTCTCATGAAGACTATTCTCTTATGTTTTATGTATGTTTGATTACATTGTTTACAAATCTCTAATACAAGAATGAGTAATTGATTGCTAGAAGAATTTAGGGTTAATTAGATCAAGACCATCTCAGCTATTAGCAAAAATCAACTTACCCTTCATTTATGTTCCCTTACATTTTGACTTTTCGACTATAAAACCAAACAAATACCTTCCCTCTGGAAGGGGTGAAAGTGACACATTTTTATAGTTGAAGGTGTCAAAATATATGGATTCATAGATGAGAGAGGTACGATGATATTCACTCATAGTTGAGGAGGCCTTGGAGAGCTTGTTGCCATTCATGATTGTGATGTGTAACATTGCATATTGGCAGTTAACCCAAATTTGAATCTAAGTGCCCCTTCCTTCTAACAGATTTCTTAAAGGGCAGGATCTTTCTGGTGTGCTTCCACGATCGTTGGCGAAGTTACCCTACCTCAAAACTGTGTAGGACGGTCTTCCATGTTTTTATTGTCTGTCAATTAGTTGTTATGCTTCCAATGAATCTGAAACACACTATTGTTTTCAGTGATTTCACTCGCAACTATCTTAATGGAACGATACCACCTGAATGGGCTTCTATCAAGTTGGAATATTTGTGAGCAATTTATGAACCCAACAGTCAGATTAATGAATACATTATGTGTACTTAGTTTTCTAGAAGTTACAAAGTGAAGCTGTTGTAGGTCTGTCACTGTGAATCGCTTATCAGGACCAATCCCGAATTACTTGGGAAACATTACCAGTCTCATCTATATGTATGCTCTCACTCTCTCTCCAGCCCACTCCCCCTCATGTGCACACAGGCAAAATGCACAAGCATATGATTGGTTGGGAAAAAAAAAAAAAAAACACATACACAGGCATACATTATTTTGAAGTTTTATATCATTTACTTTTATTGTATTTTTAGAGGAAAATGAATTTTCAGGAGCTTGGAAAACAATATGTTTTATGGAACTGTGCCAGCAGAGCTTGGAAATCTGGTCAACTTAAAGAATCTGTCAGTCTTCTATATAATTCATATTTTGTTATCAAATCGTAGATTTTAAACAAATTGTAAAATTCATCATTAGTTATTATGTTTACTATGGTTTTATCCCCTGTTTGGGCACTATAGCATTCTTAGTGCTAACAATCTCATCGGAGAGTTGCCAAAGGAGCTCAATAATCTGACAAATTTGACAGAACTGTAAGTTCGTTAGTGATCTTGTGGATATCATATTTGTAAATACTTATCGTGCCACTGTTTTTAATCTTGCCTCCGTTTTGGGTAAACACAGTAGGCTGAGCAGCAACAACTTCACTGGAAAGTTACCCAGTTTCCAGAGTTGGAAACAGCTACAAAAATTGTAAGTGTTCTCCTTTTAAGTATTCGATTTCTTTTTCTTTTGAATTTTAATTCGCAATTTGAATGCATTTGGTATATATTATGACAGAGAGCTTCAAGCAAGTGGTTTTGAAGGCCCTATTCCTCCTAGCATTTCTCTCTTGCATAATTTAACTGAACTGTGAGTTTGTCCTTTCTGGGTCGTATTTCTTGTAATGCTCAATTTCAGTAACCTAGCCCTCTGCTTTTATTCTTAATGCTAAAGGCAAATAATGCTCAAGGCAATTATTCTTAATGGCAGAAGGATTAGCAACTTGAATGGATGGGATTCACAATTTCCACTGCTAGAAAATATGTCTGAAATGAGCATGTTGTGAGTCATTTTAGTGATTGGAAATGGTTTGAAGTTTGTTGATTTGCACTCACTGGAGAACTTACTAGCATGGGTTTGGTTTTTGTTGCAGGATGTTATGTAACTGTAACATATCCGGGTTAATACCAAAGTACCTCACGACAATGCGGAAATTGAAATATTTGTAACTTACTGCATCCTCATTTCTTTTTATTCCTGCTTTTATTTATCATTACCATGCCTATTGGTACTTCATCACAGGCTAAAACTTAACAAGTAGAAAGGGAACAGTGACAAAAGAGACAAACTCCTTTGAGTATGCCAGGCTTGCTGGTGACGTATGTGGATAGAACTTATAAGTGATGTCAACTTTTGTTTTTTTTTTCTTGTCTTAATAAGTGCACATATTAGGACTTACACGTAAGTCTCCATTTATTTATTTATAAATGTAGGTAGTGACCTTTTCTTTAATATAAAAATCGTTCATCAAATGGCTGTCTAGGAAACTATGGGCTTATTAAAAGAGAAAAAAATCCTGTAATGTTTACTTAGGGTATATTAACTATAAGCATATCATGGTTATTGTCTTCTTAGAAATTTCAACAATGAATTATGCCTGTGCTGGTATTAGCTTCATGATTAAGCTTACCATCTCTTGATGTTTATATTGCATTACAGCCACTACTAGATTCTTTATATAATCAACTTCTTAAAAGTTTACGCCTTATGACAGTTTCCTTCTTGTTACATGACAGAGACCTCAGCTTCAACAGGTTGGAAGGAACTGTTCCAAAATTTGAAGGACCCAACGATTTGCATTTCATGTAAGCAATTTACTTTTGGAGGGAAATGTTCTATTACATGGAAGTATTTCCCTGTATATTTATACTATTGAATACATTTTATTATACATGATCAGACTGATCAGTCCAGCCAATTTAGGAAAAGTAGGAATTACTCCCTTACTAGCAGCAAGCTCAAAAATAATACCTGACATCAAAACATTGAAAAAGATTGAGACCCCTGAAAAGTTTCCCTTAATTTTATCCACAATGACATGGCGAGTTACATGCTAGTTTTTGATTTGTCACAAACTCAACCATGTAAGGCCCAACTCCCTTGCCATGCCATTTTGAGTGAATTTGGGGATTTAAATAGTCAGTCTTTAGCATTCATCTTAAAAAAGCTGCTTTTGCAGCAGATTTTAATTGATTTTTGAAAGGTGGTAAAATATTTAGAGACTTTTAGGGTTTATGTGGCAACAAAAGGATAGAGTTTGGAGAATGAAAATATAAGATTTTTGGGACTGTTTGGGGGCTGTTCCTATGAAGTGAACAGTACTCATGAACAATATTTGTGTTGGATTTGGCTTTTTTGCAAGTAAGATGTGAGGATTGAGGAGCTATGATGCTTTGGGATTGAGTATGGGTTAATATAGATCTGTTTTTATTGTTTGAGCTTAAAGGTGCAAAATAATAAAATAAAATGCATTAAAGGGTCTTGTTAACATGTGCCCTTAGAACATATGTTAAAGTTCTTAAAAAGATTGTACAATCTTTATTACAGGCACTTTTATGCTATGAAGCACGGACACGGACACGGACACGCATACGGACACGGACACGGATACGGACACGGGACACGTTAATTTTTAAAAAATGGGGACACGGACACGGCGGGGGACACTAAGAACACACGTGAACAAAATCCTAAAGCAAAATAAACATCATAACAAGAAGACAAACTCTAGACATCACATCTAGAATCCATAAGGATCACACATAGGGTTCAAAATTGCATCACATAATCCATATAAGATAGCTTTAAAACTCTGAAAATTCTCTAAAATATATTCTCTATTAAATTAGAAGCATTTTATGACTTTATATAGACATTGGGAAATTTCTTCTGCCTATTCTGGAAACTTAGGCTTTTGATTTCTAAAACCTATCTAAGATCAAATAAGAGCCATGTACAAAAATCAATTAAATAAACCGATCCACACGACAGACCATTGGCCACGCGAACAACCCATGAAAATACTCCTAACTCTAACTCAAATTTAAACCTATTCCAAATAATATTAAAATGTGAATATGCCAAGTCTAAAAACTTACAACTTGAGTGTAACTAGGTGGTCGTGCCTTTGGGGTTTGAGCTTATGGAGAAGCATCAAACATCTGGTTGTGCTAACCTAACCTACTAACATGTTAACATCCATGGTTCCAGTTGATCCTAAACTGAGTTTAGCTTGAAAACAACGAATTTTTGAACTTGAAGGCTTCCTCAGTTTTGGTTTTCCTTTCTCTTCTTGTGGATTGCAACACCAGCCTTGGTGACTTGTCCTTTAATGTTAGTTTATCACCATTATAGATTGAAATTGAAATATTGCAGTAATTGTCACCCATGGAGATGGAGCTATTTATTTTGGAGTCATGAGCCTTAATTAGGAATACCTTTTTGTCACCAGTAATAATAGTTCAAATTTTCTTCTATTTATTTCGCATTACATTTGAAAATACTAACAATATAAGTAACTACATAACCATAGTGAGATGTTCCTTGTTGATTAGGTGGTTGACAAGAAACAAACTTGGTGGGCTTTTACCGGACTGGATCAAGACGAGGACTACATTTTAGTATGTTATTGATTCTCAATTCTGTTTATCCGTATGGCATGATTTCATGAAGTGACTAGACAATTTTCTTTTAGTTTAATAGCTAATTGTCAAATAAATATGGATACTAGATAAATGCATAGATATGTACAGACATACACAGTGTCACACCCCAAATCCGGGCATGACCGGCTGTGGCCTATAGGGCCTTAGCCCAAGGTACACATAAGCCTAAATAAGAATATAGAATAATACAGAGTAAATGTAACAATAGTCCAGTCATAAATGAGCTACTCAATCTAGTGACATGTTGTCACGACCCAAACCCGGCCCTATGGGTTTAGCACCGTAACCGGCCAATAATCCGAGATTACCAAAGGCCTGCTTAACAGTAGAACAGTAAAACAGAGTTCAGGGCCCGGCGGAAGCCAATGCAGTAAATAAATAATGTCCATTGAGCTGTGACAGTCTGTATGCCAAAAAGATTTTTCATGCATTCATACATACAAACAGTACAGTCTGTACAAAATTTACAGTCACACAGTACAGGGACTTAATCCCTTGATAACAGTACAGTTAGTGGTTGACAGTCTATACAGTAATCCAAACAGTGTGGGGATAGACGGGGGAAAAACAAAACACCCCAAAGCCATAGCATGGCAACTCAGAACCTCGCAGTGAGGCACAAAGGCTGGCTTGACAAAACTGGAGTCTAACCCACGCTCCTAGCTCCGATCTGGCGGCTGAGCACCTACATATATATATAAACAGTGAGCTAAAGCCCAGTGAATAACATAACGCGTAAAGAGGTTATGAATGAAATGTCCTTGCAGTAATGAAATCAGTTCATTAAACAATACTTCAGTCTTTCAGTCAGAACAGCTATTCAGTCATATGTGGTACATCCCTTAGCATAGCAGTAAACAGTGACCGAACAGTAATGATGGCCATCAATCAGTAAACAGTAGTGGTCCCACGAGGGAACCGACAGAGATCTCTGTAACAGTAACAGTAGATGCCAAGGATGCCACAGTACAGTTTAGAATATAGGACATACATTCATTCAGTAAACAATATCAGTTCAGTGAACAGTTCAATAAACAGTTCAGTTCAGTATTCAGAAGATAATCATTTGAACATATCTTTACACAATTGTTACTCACAGAGTTTGGGCTACAGTATGCTAGAGCGTGTCTCCCCAGTCGCCAACCCTATATAGTTAACAGATTGAACACACTAAGCTACACAGTTGGGAAAGATAGTAACTTAATCCCTAATTTGCCTCAGTGTGTTCCACATCTAAGCCCTCAATGAGATGTCTAAAACTAGGTCTAAGAATGCCTAAAATGGGATGAGGATGCAAAGATGTGATCAGAAAACAGTTTCAGAATATTCAGAAAAACAGAGTTCCGCTCGAGCGCAGGTTTCCCCGCTCGAGCGGACATGCAACAAAGGTACACGCTCGAGCGTCAACTTTCCCGCTCGAGCGTACTGTAAAAGTACTGGATGGGTGAAATCTCCGCTCGACGCCCGCTCGAGCTTGAGACATGACTCCGCTCGAGCGCCCAATCCTCCGCTTGAGCAGATTGTAAAACAGTGCAAAGATGCTGGATGCTCGAATTCCACGCTCGAGCGCCAATTCCCCCGCTCGAAGCGGTAATTGGCAAAATCTGGGAACCAGATGCACCTCCAAGCTCAAAACTCACATTCAAATGCATCAAAACCGAATTCCTCTTGGGCTCATTTTCTGGAAAACATTTTAAACACATAGAATAACTGGTTCAAAGCTCAATTTGAGAAATCAAAGCCCAGGGTGTTTATTCAACCCAATTTCAAATCAATCAGAACAAATCTGCACAATTATTCATCATTTTCAAGAACAATCTTCAAACATTACATGCATGATTCTTAAACATTTTTCAAAGCTTTAATGCTGTTTCAAAAGAGCTCAAGCCTTCAAAAACAAGATGAACTCATGGAGTATGATCAAAAGATGGACATGCATGTGAGGTATGATGAACTACCACCTCAAAACTTCAATATATGTACATGCATGCAACACTTAAGCTTCAATTCAACAACAATGAACCAATTCATGACTTAGTTCTACAATGAAGCATGAATCATGCAAGAACAACTCAAGGACACCATTAAGATGATGAATGATCTACCTTAGGTGTAGAATTAGAAGTGAGGGAGCTCAAATAGGCAGATACACTTCAATTTCAAGCAATTCTTCAAGTTGACTAAGCCAAACCCCCAAGAACAATTCTATTGTCTCCCTCTCTCCCTCAAGGTCGGCAAGAACAAGAAGAAGGCTGAGGAAAATGTTTTTGGCTCAAGTATAGGGAGCTTAAGGTGTAGAGGTAGTGGCCCACTCAAGGGCAAAACGGTAATTAAGTCCAACTCTTTAATTAGCAATATTTAATCTAATTTAATCATACCTAACAGTTTTCAGATAATTATACCATAAAATCACATTAATTCTAAGGATCATAGAACACTAACAAATTCCCGGTTCGGCCGCCGATAAGGCCTTCAATTAGCAGTTTAAACGCAAAACACGAACAGATCAAATAATCAGTCAAACAGATAGAATACAAATTAACATACACACTCAGTCAATTCAGTTCCAGTTTTTCAGTCAGTCAGTTCAGTACTTTAACCAGTCCAATTATCAGTCATAATCAGTTCAGTTTAACGGTAATCGATGTTTATCGGTAATCAATCAGTCATTAATCGGTAAACAGTATGAGGGTTGTTACACCAATCCTCCAAAGAGTTTAGTCCTCTAAACTCGAGTTATCTTCATTCTGGAAGAAAACAGGGTTCAGTGGAAACAGTTCAGGATATCTTTTAGCCATGTCATCTTCCCTTTCCCAAGTGGCATACATGCCACCATGGTTCTGCCAGTCGACTTTCACCAATGGGATCTCTTTGTTTCTCAACTTCTTGATTTGTCTGTTTACAATCTGTATAGGTCGTTCCTCGTAAGTGTAGTCATCCCTCAACACTACTCGAGTAGGCTCAATTACATGGAAGGGATCTCGGAGATAATCTCTCAACATCGAAATGTGGAAAACATTATGCATGTGCTCCATTTCAGGAGGGAGCGCAACTTGATACGCCACCGGATTAATTTTCTCAATAATCTCATACGGTCCGACGTATCTTGGCGCTAACTTGCCTTCGACTCCAAAACGAGTCTGGCCCTTCATTGGTGTCACTTTCATAAAAACGTGATCACCCACTTCATACTCTCTGTCCCGTCTTCTGACATCCGCATAACTCTTCTGACGACTCTGTGCAGTTTTCAATCTCTGTTGTATCAGTTTCACTTTCTCAGTTGTTTCATAAACAATCTCGGCCCCAAGCAAAGGCCCATCTCCAACTTCTGCCCAGCAAATCGGAGATCTACATTTTCTGCCATACAATGCCTCGAAAGGCGCCATACCAATACTCGAATGGTAGCTGTTGTTGTAGGCGAATTCAACTAATGGCAGATGACTTTCCCAATCTCCCTGAAAATCAAGGACACACATTCTCAGTAAATCCTCCAGAGTCTGGATGGTCCTTTCTGATTGGCCATCTGTCTGAGGATGATAGGCACTACTCAGCCTCA